CAGGTTAGGCACCTCTCAACAAACCACGCTACATCACTCTTCATACAGGGCCACCAATACTCCCTTTTAAGATCTAGAAACATCTTAGTGGCCCCGGGATGGATCAAGAATCTCGTTCTATGCGCCTCCTCCATCAAGATGGTATGCGTTCCTCCAACGAACGGCACCCAAATCCGACCCTGGAAGGTCATAAGACCTCTGCTATCGGTCACGAACTCCGACACTTGTCCGACAACTTGCTCTCTCTTACGGTTCTCCGGTCTCACTGCCTCAGCCTGAGCCCCTCTGATGGTGTCCAACACCATACTCATCACCGTCAATCTCATACAAATATCCCGAATCAGGGCGCTCTCTGCCCTACGACTCAAGGCGTTGGCTACCATGTTAGCCTTGCCCAGGTGGTACAGGATCTCACAATCATAATCCTTTACTACATCCAACCATCTCCTCTGATGCATGTTCAGGTTTGGCTGATCCATCAAATACATCCAACCATCTCCTCTGATGCATGTTCAGGTTTGGCTGATCCATCAAATACTTCAAACTCTTGTGGTCCGTGTATATCGTACACCGAACCCCATACAGATAATGGCGCCAAATCTTGAGGGCGAACACCACAGCCCCCAACTCTAGATCGTGGGTGGGATACCTTGCCTCATGGGGCTTCAGTTGCCTTGATGCGTACGCGATCACATGCCCCCTCTTCATCAACACCGCGCCCAACCCAGATATTGATGCATCACAATACACCACGAAGTCCTCCATCCCCTCTGGAAGAGCCTACACCGGGGCTTCGCACAATCTTTGGCGAAAAGTCTCAAATGAGGCATGCTGCTCTGGGCCCCAACTGAACACCACACCCTTCCGGGTCAACCTGGTGAGAGGAACAACAATCTTGGAGAAATCCCTGATGAACCTCCGATAATAGCCAACCAACCCTAGAAAACTCCTCATCTCAGAAGGAGATTTTGGCGCCTCCCAACTCATCACCGCCTCGATCTTGGCTGGATCAACCAAAATCCCCTTTTGGTTAACGAGGTGACCAAGGAACTGCACCTCTCGTAACCAAAAACCGCACTTGGAAAACTTGGTGTAAAGCCTCTCCGATCTCAATATACTGAGGATTTCTCGCAAATGCTCCTCATGCTGCTCCCTTGATCTCGAATATACTAAAATGTCGTCAATGAACACAATCACAGATCGATCCAGCATCGGTCTGCATACCCTGTTCATGAGATCCATGAACGCTGCAGGCGCATTGGTGAGCCCGAATGGCATCACCACGAACTCGTAATGCCCATAACGAGTCCTGAATGCAGTCTTCTGGATATCCTCCTCGCGCACCCTCATCTGATGATATCCAGATCTCAGATCAATCTTGGAAAACCAAGATGCTCCCTGCAGCTGATCGAACAAATCGTCGATCCTCGGCAAAGGATAACGGTTCTTGACCGTTAACTTATTCAGCTCTCTATAATCTATGCACATTCGGTGCGAACCATCCTTTTTCTTCACAAAAAGGATCGGTGCTCCCCACGGCGAGCTGCTCGGCCGTATAAACCCCTTCCCCAGCAGCTCCTGAAGCTGCGAGGATAACTCCTGCATCTCTGGAGGTGCAAGGCGATAGGGCGCCTTGGCAATAGGTGCTGCCCCTGGAATCAAATCAATGCAAAACTCAACCTGCCTCTCGGGAGGTACACCCGGTAACTCCTTGGGAAAGACATCCGGGAATTCACACACTATCAGAACCTCTTCAACCGTACTCAGTCTCTCTGCACCAACTCTCGTATCCATCACATACGCTACAAAATCACTACAGCCCTACTGTAGACTCTGCTTCGCTCTAGCGGCCGAACAAAACGCTGAATCGGGACGGGTACCCTCGCCGTACACTGTAAGAACTCCCCCACTTGGGTCTCGTATAGTCACCAGCTGCCGCTTGCAATCGATAACTGCTCCAAATCTGCTCAACCAATCCATGCCTACGATGACACAGACGTCCCCCATCGCAATCGAGACCAAATCAATAGGAAACTCAACACCGAAAATCTCGAGTACACATCCTCGAATCACCTCCGTGGCATACATTGCTCTCTCGTCAGCGATGGAGACTCTCAGAGGTTGACTCAACGCCTCTCAACTAATACTGATACGCTGACTAAAAGCCAACTATATAAAAGATCAACTCGCACCTGAGTCAAATAACACCAAAGCAGGTACAGAACTCACAAGAAAAGTACCTACGCATATCATAAAATAAGCACAAAATCTCAAACATTAAAATAAATACATGAAAGAATACATACCAGCCACGACATCGGGCGCTACGCGGATCTCTTCCGCAGTCAACTGGAAGGCTCTCCCCCGAGCCTTCAGCGTCTCAGTCTTCACCGGCCGACTAATAGAATCTCTAATAGCAGCAGGGGCAGACCCCTAAGAAGCTCCCTGTGCTGACCCTCGCAGTAGCGGACACTCAACCTTCCGGCATCCGGTCTGGTTGCAGTGAAAACACACTGCAAACCCCTTGGGGCAGTCCTTGGCCATATTCCCCTCCTTGCCACACTTGTAGCAAGATCCATCTCTACAAACTCCATCATGACCCTTGCCGCACTTTCCACAAGTGCGGCCCTTCTGGCTCCCTGCTCTGGAATCAGCGGGCTTGATCCGTTTGGCTGTCGGCTGGGACTATGCTAGTCGCCGATCCCTCCCCTGAGACTCCGCCTCCTCCCTAACTTGAGTCTCTAGCTCGATCTCCCTCTTTCGGGCATTTGCCTGAAGCTCGGCAAATGAATGGTACGAGGAGTTCGCCACGAACTCCCAAATATCTCTCCTCAAATTACTCAGATAACGGCTCATATGTGCCTGCTCAGTAGACACGTGTTTAGGGCAGAACATCGCCCTCTCATGAAACATCCTGGTAATAACCGTAACAAACTCCGTACCCTACTTGAGGGTTAAAAACTCCTGTGCCAACAGATCCCGTTCCACCGAGGGAATGTACTCATCACGAAACATGGTGGTGAACCTCTCCCATGCCACCACAGCAAGCTCTGCTGGAGAATAGTGTGCTGTCGTGAACTTCCACCAGTCCTTCGCCCCTAGGCGAAGCTGCTTTAGCGCAAACCGAACCCTCAAGTGCTCCGGGCACGAGCATGTATAGAAACACCCCTCAATGTCAGATACCCATCTCATCGCTGCAATCGGATCCTACGTCCCATCAAACTCTGGTGGCTTCATGTTGCTGAACTCCCTGAACAACAACGAGTCACCCCCCTGCGGCCTAGCAGCAGCGATGGCTGCGGTGGCCGCTGCAACAGCAGCCTCAGAAAGAGCGGCATAACGCTCGTCAAAAGTCTCGATCAACGTGGTCTTAATAGACCCGAACATCTCTGGTATCTCTGCCCTGATGTCCGCAGCCACCACCTCATGGATGATCCGACGGATCTCCTCATCATTAGTCCCGCTGCTCTCTGGCGTATGACGTGTCCTCACCATGATCTACCTCTGAAATACAACATACGATATATTAGAACTCACTCGAGCATACTCGCACTCGATAACTCATCCCTCCTTGTTCCCTAGCATCCTGAAGATTCTTACTTGAACTATACACCGCCCCGGTGTTTTCAGTAGTACGGGCCCAATACTACCGTCCACACTGTATCAGTATACACCCCAAGTCCTCCTCCTAGGATCCCAAGTCCCAAGTACTCTATTATGCATAACCACTCTCTAACAGATCTCTCATAAAATCCTCACTGCTACCTACTCACTCTCAAGCATCTCATAGCAGCTCACCTTCCCTTAGGCTAAGGCATCACAAATTAGGCCACTCTAGTCCTAATAGGAATACCTAATCCACTCTAGCATGAGAATACATCATATCAATCTCATAAACATATAACATAAGGGTATTTTGGGAAATCACCATTCGGGCGCTGACTGATCGTACACACAACTCTGCTCTGTGTTTTCCAAAAATCTTTTACTCTTTTTAGAAAACTTGGTTCTCTTTTGAAAATATTTCTCAAATCCTCAGTTTGAGTTCAAATACGCCCAAATGTGTACTCGAATCCCTCAAACCAAGGCTCTGATACCAACTTGTAACACCGTAAATTTCAAAACAATTTTTCGCATTTTATAAAAACATAATTCATTCATTATTCATAAAAACATCATTGTTTAAAACTCAATTCATAACATATATCAATCCCAAGATTCCATAACATAAAAATCCCGTGTGTGTACTGATCAAGTCGACGCCTTCCCACGATCCTCACTTGTACCTGAAACACATAACACAAAATACTGTAAGCACGAAGCTTAGTGAGTTCCCCAAAATACCATATATAACATATATTAGCCACTAGAGGGTATAACTTTGTGGGTCCGTGCACCCAAACTCTGTAAACATACACAGTATAAATCACATAGAATAATACAGTGCAACACATAACACATATATAGCATACAAACATTGTATCACATAACTTTGATTACATACTCAAGGTAAAGTATAGTGAGAAGACTCACCTCGGATATCTCAGTAAATCTCTGACTTGATAAACTCTGGTCTAGCCCCTGCCTAATCACATGAAATAAATACTCTAATTAATACACCCTCAGGTAGGCCTGGCAATCGTGTCGTGTTCGGGTTGGCGTGTCACGGGTTGACGGGTTGGCGGGTCAAAATATGCCAACCCAAACACGACCCATTTAAATATACAGGTCACGGGTTGGCGGGTCACGTGTTGGCGGGTTTGGAACATAAACCCATATATGACCCGCCAACCCATTTATTTATACGGGTTCATAGGTTGGCTGGTTTGTGGGTCAAATTTGGGTTCGTGGGTCCGAATTGTAGACATTTAAGTCTTAAACATCCAAATGAAAATTATAAACATTCATAGAAACATGTTACAGACTTAGCCTTATAGGTTACGACTTACGACCTTAGACCATTCACCGCGACTCAAAATGTCAAAACAGTCAAATCGTCTATGAATCAATGGTATATATTATATAATACTTTTTAAATATTCATACTTGATACATAAATACATTTAAAAATAAAATAAATTTTTTATTAAGAATATAAACGGGTTGGCGGGTCAACCCGTTTATTTTTTGAGAAACCCATATATGACCCATTTAATAAACAGGTTGGTGGGTTGACGGGTTAGCAGGTTGGCGGGTTGAAAAACTCAACCCAAACCCATTTATTTCGTGTCGTGTCGCATGTCGTGTCGAGAATTGCCAGCCCTACCCTCAGGGCTAGGCTAATCTCTCTCTCTCTATATATATATATATATATATATATATATATATATATATATATATATACATCCTCTAGGAAGGGTAAAAGACTATCATACCCTTCCGAGGACTCTAAGGTCCAAACATTGACTAACCCTAAAAGTCAACGAAGTCAACGGTCAACCTTGACCAAACTCGTCGAGTGCACAGTTGTGACTCGGTGAGTTCCCACGTGTTCTTCACTCTCCTATTCCTCATTCGACTCACTGAGTCAACCTCAACTCTGTAAATCATCATTGATCACAAATCTGTGAAATGTCCCGACCCAACTCGCTGAGTCCGACTCCTGACTCGGGGAGTTCATGCCATGCTCGAGCTGAACTGACCTTCTGAGATCACATCCGCTCCTCTGAACCATAGATCCAACTTCCCAAAGCATTATAATCACATAAAGCTAACATCTTGGTGCACATGCAAAGGCTCAAAGGCCTTATTTGAAGATATGACCTCTAAAATGACATCCTAAGCTCATAACTCCCATTAACACCCATAAAGCTCAAGGGAAAAGGGTCTCTGGACCTCTTTGGGTCCAGATCTACAGCACCAACACGATAAGGGACCAACTACTCCATCTAACCATCCTCTAAAGGGGCTAAAACTCTAAGAATTACACCATAAACTGAAGAAGGGTCGAATGAATACCTCAAAATGAAGTCTCTGAGCCCTGGAATCACTGGATTAGCACCCTCTTTAGCCTCCTCTTGACTTGGTCCTCTTCTATTTGCAAAAACACTAACAAATGATCAAGAAATGACTCCCTTCCTCTCACAAACGCTCTAGCTCACTTAGGGTTTCTCTCTGGGGTCTGGTAGCCGCAAATGACGACCATAAGACCCTTTAAATAGGCCCCAAACCTGAGGAATTAGGGTTTCATTAAACAGCGTGGACTCGCCGAGTCCAGCCATCCACCCGGATAATGATTCACGTCACTACTCGGCGAGTCTACGCATCAACTCGTCGAGTTTTTCCTCAAAACTTGAAATTCAACGAATAAATATAATACCTGAAATTCCGGATGTTACAATTGTCACAAAAAATAAAGTATAAGAGTTTATTTAAAAATAAAATAAAAATAAAAACTAAATGTGTAAATTTCAAAAAAAATATTATTCTATCAAATCATTTTCTTATATCATATTTATCCAAACACCCCTTATAAAATTATACATTAGCGTGACTTTTGAACAAAAGAAAAGTAAATTAAAATTAAAAAACCTTCCCTTTTCCGGATATTAGAGATCTCTTTTACGATCCTCTTCAATGGTTCCTTTGACAAACGGTTTCTTTGTAGGACACGAATTTTCCCCCTAACTCCCCCAATCTCAGAACTTTCTCCGATCCTCCATCAACGAAGAAGATCGAGTAGTTATTAATCGTTGGATCGAGTTTTTCTCGTGACAGAATAGTCATCGGTATGATTTTTTGCACTTCTGTAATACATAGGTGTGTCTGGGATGATTTAAAGCAAAGCTGGTTGTTGATATTTTTGATTTAGTTTTTGCTTTCAGAATTTTGGTGATGATAGTCCTGTTTGCTTTAGGCAAGTTTAGGCGTGGCGAGATTTTTCTTGCTCTTTAACCTATTGACTTCAGATTGTTAGGTCTTTTTACGTTCTTTCCATGAGATCAATAGAATCTGGGCTCATCTGCGAGCATACCTAAAATTCAGTATGTACTGTATTATGTGAAATCGAAATTATGTTAAATTGCGTAAGGAGTTGCTGCTCATGGTGTTGTATAGAAGTGGATCAAGAGAAATAAACCGACTGATTTTTTTTTTCTCAGAGACGAGCATTAAGGAATACCTTTTCTTTCTTTGCTCAAGATCTTTACTTTCTTTTCTTGCTGATCTATTTGTCTGGTTTTCTTAAAGAAGCTTTCAAGAGTCGTTAGATACATGAAATTCTGATGATATTGGTCGCTATGGTTGTGGTTGATTGTAGGCTCTTAAAGATAATTATAAACCCCAATAATTCGCCTGAGGATTTATCAGATCTAATATCAACAACTATCCACATATATACCTCAAACATCTCCAATGGTCATCTTTGCTTGAGATTGTATCTTGGAAGTTTCTTATTTGATATATTGTGTTGCAACAAGCTTCAAGATAATTTTGTGGAGTAACAACACCAATATGTTTTACATCCTTAGAAACATGAAAAGACTGTTCTCTTCCTTTAGGGCATGTTTCATTTGTCAAAATTTGGTGGAACCTGATGGAATGGAATTCAAGATTCCTTTTGACCACATGGCATATCATCTTTGATTTAATATTGTCAAGGAATTGAATTATGTCGGATTCTTTAATATTTCACTTCAAGGAATTTGACATTCCATCAACTACAATTCCACAGATATATCTACAAACCAAACATACTTACAAGGAATGCAATTGAATTCCATTATTTAGTTTTCAATAGTATTGTCCTTTGTATACTATCTCTTTCAAAAGAGTATGAAAACCTTCTAGATTTTTTTTAATTTTTTTTATTTCTCTTCATACGAATTCTTTTGGTAATTTATACAGGAACAATGTCCCTTGCTCGGCCTCATCATGCAGATAATACTCAATTCCCCGGTGATTTTAGATTTTCCTTTGGACGAAATTACCCTCACGTATATTCCTCCACCTCCACAGACTTCACTACCAACAGGCGTTACAACAATAACAACAACCATAGAAGAAGCTATAACAATTCCCATGACTTCTCAAATGAATCCAGACATCAATACAACATTTATAATCACATTGATCCCCAAGTTTTACCTTCTCTTAAAAGGAGGAAGTTTTCTTCCACCAATTGGGAAGGTTATGGTACATCTTATAATCATAACAACAACAACAACAACAACAACAACAACAATAATCATAATCCATCTTTCAAATATGAATATTCCCCTTCAAGCTCCAAGATCACATTCCCTCTTCCTGATGGAAATGCTAAAGTTTCCACATCCACTAGCTACAAACGTGATCGAACAAGATTTGAAGATGAAGATGTAGAATTTATGTCAAGGGATCAGATTGAGAGGTTTTCTCCTTCCAGAAAAGATGGTATTGATGCTTTACAGGAAACTCACTTGCGCTACTCTTACTGTGCTTTTCTTCAGAACCTTGGACTTCGCCTTGAGCTGTAAGCAAAACATTTTAGTTTATACTTTACTTGTATACAATTAGCCAATAATATATATAAACTTTTGTCTATTCTGTTGTTTGACATCAACTTTCTTTCAATTTCACTACAGCCCACAAACTACTATTGGAACTGCTATGGTTCTATGCCACCGGTTTTTTGTCCGGAGATCTCATGCATCCCATGACAGATTTGTAAGTTATCATTTCTCTTTGGTTAAGAACTAATTAATCCCATGACAGTTTTTGTATCTTAGATGTTAATACTTATTGCATGTAGGCCTTTTTTCCATTATCATTTTATTCTATTTTTAAACCACAAGTTTATCTGAAAGAATTTGATTATATATTCTTTATACAATTATCCTGCAGCTGATTGCTACTGCTGCTCTTTTTCTTGCTGCAAAGTCGGAGGAGACACCTTGCCCTCTGAATGATGTATTGAGAGTGTCCTCTGAAATTTTCCACAAGCAGGATTTCAATGTGCTATGCTATTTGCTCCCTATGGTGACATCTTAAACTTTCTATTGGCATTCAGACTTTTAATAGTATTTTGTATGATTGTTTTTTTATCTAATGTAAAACTAACTATTCAACAGGATTGGTTTGATGAATACCGAGAACGAGTGCTTGAAGCTGAGCAAATGGTTTTGACAACTCTAAACTTTGAGCTGAATGTGCAGCATCCATACACACATTTGACATCCATTCTTGACAAATTAGGGCTTGCACAGTCACTTTTGGTAAACCTGGCATTGAGCTTGGTCAGTGAAGGGTAAGCCTGCTATACATTTCTTCCCTTTTATGGAGTTAATAAAATAGATGAATTAGAAAGTTGGTTGATGTTATCTCACTCTCACCTAATTACTTGTTCAGAATGTTCCATTGATATTGCTTGGTAGTTGGTGGTGTGCAGTTGATGGAGTAATGTTGCATTGCATGTAATTGAGTAGTAGTTGTCTTGTTGTCTGCATTGTTTATTGATTTTTTTGGATTGGCATATAATTGCAGGGGCAATAGAAGAGTGTAGCATGCACAGAGTGTATGATTTTGTTAGCTGGTGGATTGATAGAGTTTTATTTCTCATCTCATCTCATCTCATCTGAAGTTGAAAGACAGATAGTGTTTGGATGCATGCAATGCAGTTTTCAATCAAATTTTTTCATAACTTAATCTCGCTAAAAGTTACAATTTTTTGCCCCACCATACACTTGCTCTTGATCTCTCGTTTGCGAAAAAGACGTGAATGCCCTTCTCATAAGCAATAGCTCTAGAAAGCTTCCTGTTCCATGTAACAAACACAGAGGGTTGCGAGTAATTTTTGTGCATTGGATGTTGGTTATGAGTTGTTGATTTTATTTCCAAAAGTGCCCTTCAGGAGAGGGTAGACTCAAACATATATATAGAGGCAGATGTGACCACCAACACTATACCATTTTTATCCTTTTTTTTTTTCCACATGTCATGTTTTCTTCTAGAGTGAAGGTTAACATAATTTCTGAGATCTCAAAACTCAAAAGGCAACCCTATTTAGACAGGAATGCTCAATTTATTATTTTTTATTTTTTGTAGTGTAAAGCTAAAAATTACAAGAAAATTTTGCTGTTTGTTTGCATAGTCATAGAGTGCATGCTGCTTTAGATTAGCCAGCGTAAGACTTGCATATTAGCAAAGAGAATACCTGATAATATGAGGTGTTTGGTTCTGGAATAGGATTCTATTTTATGAGAGACATTAACTTATAAAAATATAGGGTTAAGAGGGTAATCAGTTATATTTTTAACAAGGAAGATTCAAATGCTGAAAAATGAAATAAAATCCATGGGTTTTAAGATGGAATCTTCCTACTCATTTTTAACCAAGCGCAGGATTTGATATCCAATTCTTGCCAAATCGAATTTAGTTGCCAGTTAAGCTCTATAAGCTAAGCTTCATCATCAAAGTGGGCATTGTACTAGATTTTGTGTTGTAGATGTCTATTTTATGCTCATTCCATCAGCAATTCTGAAGATACTTGGAAAATGTACACCAGATGCACATGCTATGCCTTTCTTTGTTGGTAAGAGAAAATTGCATTTGATTTCACACCTGCCATCACATCACATCACATAACTAACTACATACTCTTCTCTATGGTAAATTACTAATTACTGCTAAACTAAAACTTGAAGCTCATATTTGTGCCAGATCTTCATCATTCCTTCTATTGCTACAAAATGGTGTGTTTAATCATCAGATGGTTGTTTTTTAATGTCTTATTGAATTGATTTGATGTCATCTCCTAAATCCGACTACTTTTTTTTTTTTTTTTTTTGAAGGCTGCGTAGCTCACTTTGGCTTCAATTCAAACCCCACCAGATTGCTGCTGGAGCTGCATACCTTGCTGCAAGATCTTTAAATATGGATCTTACTACGTATCAAAATGTCTGGCAGGAGTTCTACACACCACCATCTGTACTCAAGGGTATGTATGTCATTTCATTATTATTTATGCATAAATAAGTATTCACATTATTTTCCTCTTGTAGATGTTGTCCAGCAGTTGATGGAGCTGTTTTAGAGCTGAAAGAAAGATGGTGACATTTTATGGCTTTGTTTGGGTGCCTTATACACGTGTGCTTCTGTAAATGGCCTTCTGTCATTTTAGGTCCAGATCATCAGTCGGTTCATAAGGCTGTGTAGTCAAAGCATTGACCTGACCCGTGTTTGTTCTTTGACTTCTATTATAGTAGGTGTCCAATATGTGGTTTAGTTGCATAGGAAAGAGCCTTAAAATTAATCTTTATATTTGGATCATCAAAATATTTGAATCCATGAAAAACACTTTGTGGAAACTTTATATCCAATATCTCATTCGGTGTGCGTTTACTTTGGGGTCTTCACATGGACACACTATGATTTACCTTCCCATGGTGTGTACACTCTTACTTTTGGGCTGTATTGAGTACTTAACTAGAGCATTGACACGTCATCATGTCATGTCTCAAATCTTCAACATATAAATATAAAGATTTACATTCTTATAAACATACTAGGTGATAGGTTCATGTGAACATAGGCGATAGGATATTATTGATCTGTGAAATAGTTCTACTATACCAGTTTGATGAAAACCAAGAACATGAAAGTTGAATGTTATAATTGGAAAATAAATGAAACTAAAATGTTAAAATCAACATTGAATTGTAAGTTGAATGCTAAAGATAAAAGTAAAATGATGTAATTCACATTAAATGAAAATGTTACAGTTGACATAAAAGTGTTACAATTATCATTAAGATAAAAGTAAAATGCTATAGTTGACATTAATATGAAAGTGCAATGCTTTAATTGAAAAACAAATATGAGTAAAATGATATAAACAAATGTTAAAACGGAAGTTCAATGTTATAATAGAAAAAAAAAACAATATAAGTAGATGTTATAATAGACATTAAAATGAACATCTTTTTCTCATTTCACCGAACTTTTTTGTATCTACTGAAGATTTTCAACGACTAAGACACTAAATTATTGTGCACCGCATATATTTACATTAAGACATTTAGCAATCCTATAAGTTTCTTGAAATAGATTTTCCAATTCGAGTATTGTATTAAATTCACCAACATTAGCTATTTATGGAAAAGCAAACATTTTTATGATCAATATTATCACAACTATGAGATAAGTAAATTCAAGAAATATGTGATAGGATGAGTTGATGACTCACTTTCAAAACCAATATTTTTGACAGCTTTGACAAATTTATGATGAAGGTCAACTATCCATACCACTCTTGCTTTCAAAACCAATGTTCAACATTTTTATTTTATTTTCTTATGTGGTGTCATGTCACCCCCACAAAGCATGTCATCAGATTGTTTGGATACATTTCTCATATTCAGAATTTCTTCAAGGATATTCTTCCTGTAAAGATGCTGTCGAATGTTTCTTATTTCCTTCATTCCAATTGGCTTGAGAAGATAATAACAGGCCCCATGTCAAACACCTCTCATAACTCTTCCTGTTTCCCCATTAAACTAACACTAAAACCTAAGTATTCTATTGAAAATAAGCATTACTTGTGTGTTTTGGAACCACATCTGTCACATAGATGCATCACTTGTGCCATATATGATCTTTTAATTTATAGCCTATAAAGAACATGTAGTGTTGTTTAGGGTGTATACAATTTCAACCTTCATAAAATTAAACAACACCATATGAACACTAAAGACTTAGTTAATCGTCAAAAATAAACCATATTTGTTCCCATATATGACTCAAGAAAAAAGAAAGAATCAAAAATACACAACAATGTACTTTACAACACTAACAAAAATTGGCAATGAACTTATAGATCACCAACACCTAGAATCCCAAAACCATCAATTGCTTGCAAGCTTAGTGAGCAAATCAAGGGCAATCAAGGAAATTCAAACTTGAGCCAACGAACCACAAAACTACAATCAAATTGTTAAGAGAAGTCTTGAAAAACTGTAACACACAAAGAATAACACAAAACCCCAAACTCGCTCCCTACAATGCAAAAAAATAAAAATAAAAAATAAACCATATGAACACCAAAGACTTAGTTAATCGTAAAAAATCTCCACATTCATCTCTAACAAGTGCAAAAACCTTATGTAAATCAACTATTTATAAATGATAATCTATAATCTATTAATCTGATTCAAGTGCATCATTCAGAAAACTAGAAAACTATAGTCTTATAACATTGTGATTTATGATAATCTATAATCTGATTCATTGATTCAACATTCAGAATTTCAGATTTCTAATTCAACTCATTCAAGTATAATAGTGCTTATTATTTAACATTCAATTTATTGATAAGTGATAACAATGAACATTGAACAGTCTACATATCTAACATAATTTGAAAAGTTGGACAAAAAGAAAACAAGAAAGCTTTTACCTTATGTAGTTGTCAAATCGACTGATGATTGATTAAAAGTCAAAAATCGATTCACGTCACTGGTTCGCTGCATGCTGCTGCCTTCTGCCTTTGCGTGGTGGGCTGACCATTGATCGATTAACAAGAATAGTAAGAGTGACTCTAGACGTGTGGACTATTGCTTAGCATTTGTTAGGGGTGTTATTCGGTGTTTTTTTCTTCGGTTTTCGGTTTAATCGATTCGGTTTTATCAGTTTTTTTACATCTTAAAACTAACAACAACCGAACCAAATAAGGTTCGCTTTAACCGGTTTTGATTTATTCGGTTTGGTTTAACGGTTAAACCGAATAAAATTTCGCATGTAAAAAATAAATATTATACTAAAAGGAATTTTTTTTACTAAACTTTTACCAAATGAAAAAAATACACTAATACATAGCATATTATATTTGGTCTTTCATGATATGTTGTCTTGACGTGTCAATGTGGCCATATAAATTGTAGATACAAGGTTAATACAGATTTAGTCGTATATGAAGATGATAGAAATAACCTAAAGTTAATTGACATTTGACTAATTAATTGTTTTTAATACGTTATATAAACAATTATAAATTTGTAATGGTTCATAATTAAATAATGAATTATGAAAATATATTTTAGTAACTAATCTATCAATTTAAAAGTAAAATGTTAATTTATAGATATAAACTATAAAAATATATATTAATTAAGACTTCATTCACTTTTTTTTTTTTTTTTTTTCGGTTTAACTAAAAAATAAAGATTTAACCAAAACAAATAAATTAAATTATCCTTATTCGGTTAACCAAACCGAATTAACCAAATAACCAAATAAGCCGAACCAAATAAACCAAACATCATTTGCTTCGATTTGATTATTCGGTTTCTATTTTTTATCATAACCCTAACATTTTGATATGATTCAACATTTAATTGAAAAAAGAAAATGGGTCCTGTGCGCATGCCCTTCTTTACCCCCTTCCCCATAACCTGCCATGCATATACTTATATATAGTATGGATAAATATTTTATGAGATATTAAATATACTACTACATTTTCTTATACTAATCATTCTATCTATATTAAATGTTGGAGAAGTTAAATATCTTTTTACAAAATCTTTTTATTTGTCTTCCTACTCATAAGATTATGACAAATATCTTAATCAAATGATAAGATGAGGAAAGAAAATTAGTGGATTATACTTGACAATCAATCAATAGATATGATGATGACGTAGAAATCAATTTAATTTTCCTATATTTTAACATGTCTCTTGTTTAATGAAAGTAATAATATTTTAATATATTTGTTGCTGTTTGTATTTAGGAGGATAGAAAGAAAGAAAATATAGAAAAATATATAATTTCTCATATTTTATTATGTTCACAATAGTGACTTGAACCTTTAACCTCAAAGAGAAAAGACAACACCGGATACCGTAAGACTAAAAACCATTTGATTAGGGCTGACAATTCTCGATATGATCCGTAACACGGCCCACAACACGACACGAAATAAATGCGTTTGGGTTGAGTCTTTCAACCCGTCAACCCACTAACCCGCCAACTCGTTTATTAAACGAGTCATATAAGAGTTTCTCAAAAAATAAACGGATTGATCCGCCAACCCGTTTATATTCTTAATAAAAAATTATTTTATTTTTAAATGTATTTATGTATCAAATATTAATATTTAATAAATATTATATAACATATACCATTGATTCATAAACCATTTGACTATTTTGACATTTTGACTCGTGGTGGATGATCTAAAATCGTAAGTTGTAACCTATAAGACTAAGTCTGTAACATGTTTCCATGAATGTTTTTAATTTTCATTGGGATGTTTTAGACTTAAATATCTAAAAATTCGGATCCACAAACCCAAATCTGACCCACAAACCCGCTAACTTGTGAATCCGTATAAATAAATAGGTTGGCCGGTCATATATGGATTTATGTTCCAAACCCGCCAACCCGTGATCTGTATATTTAAATGAGTCGTGTTTGGGTTGGCATATTTTGATCCGTCAACCTGCGACATGCCAATCCGAACACGATACGATTATCAGACCTACATTTTGATGATATTTTATTATTTAATACGAAAAAAACGAACTTTCACTATTTGATATTTTATATTTTACCGGACACAGGTTGTAATTGATTTTAATCCGAGGTTCTCACGCGTCATACAAAGCCTTTCAGTTGGGTGGGAAGGAATTTATCTTAAACCACGTTTCATCAACAGCGACTGTATGACCAATACACTACTACATGATTCATGAATCAATCGCCAACATTATAGATCAACAAAGCGAGAGACATATAGGATCATTAGCCCCAAATCCTCTTTCTAGTCCTCAAAAACCCCCACAAACCATCTCTCTTTCCCCAGATTCTTACACCAAACGAACAAAACGTCTTCAATTTCGCGAGATCAGAGTATTGAATTGATCTCGCCACAATAATGCTGGCGAACCATCTTCAGAACGGTGTTGAGACCGCCAAGCTAATTTGGTCTCGGTTGCCCAACGCGGAAGATGCTAGTGATGCTGAACTTGATGAAGATGGGGTTTTGAGAAACGATGGATTCGATGGTGTTGAAAGTCTTGATTATGAAGTCATTGAGAACTACGCCTATCGGCAAGAACAGGTTTCAGCTAATTAATTATAATATTGTTGTTGTCGACTTCAATCTAATTAGCAACCGCAAACTATTAACCTGTCGTAACTGCAGGCGCGAAGAGGAAAGCTTTATGTTTGGTACTACGTGGGAGTTAAATGGTTCTTTGCTCTGCTTATAGGCATAGGTAAAATAATCTTCCGCTTGATACTGATGTTCTTTGGTTCAATTATGTTCGAGTTTTGATGGCTCTATAGCTTTGATTTTGTGACCATGACCTTCTCATGTGATACTATGTTATAACATTGATTCCTCCATCCACTGAACAAAGTTGAAGAGTGGCTTTTGGGGTTTAGTTTGAGGTTGTGAGACTTATAAGGTGTATGATCTTTCGGATATCTCTAATTGTATGAGAGTCATGTTTATGCTCACTACAACTAAAATCCTCAAAAACTTAAAAGCGATTTATCAGATTAGGGCCATTAAAATCCTCAATTATTG